GGAGGGAAGGAAATGATACATATTTTACAGCATGTGTGCGGTTTGACTGCATCCAGAGTCATGACGATCCTTCTTCCTCTTATTAGCTGCAACTCTTCCTTTGCCTTTATAAGTTTTCCATCGAGAGCACAGTGGAAGATCCTGGTTCTGGTCAGCAATCAAGGTGGTTACGGGTGGTCGTGGGGAGGGAAGAGAGGGAGTGGGTCCTCCTCCTCCTCCTCCTCCTCCTCCTCCTCTTTCTTCTTCTTCTTCTTCTTCTTCTTCTTCTTCTTCTCTCTTTCTTTTTTTTTCTTCTTGTTCTGCCTTCCTTGATGCTGACGACAGGATCCCCTGTTTTCTTTTGTTTTTTTTTTTACACGATCGCTATTTTTGCCACATCACCAAAGACAACAAAATAGGAGGAGCAGTCATTGTCACAGGTTCTTTTTCTTCTTTTTCTTCTTGAAAAATGAAAAGAAGAAGAGTCTGACTCTATCATCTATGACAAAAGTAGCAGCAGGAGAAAGCAAGCAAAAGGTTTTGCACATCTATATAAGAGTCAATTGTCATTATTATTATTATTATTATTATTATTATTATTATCCTTTTCTTCTTCTTCTTCGTCTTAATGACATGACGTTGGAACACAGTCAAACGAGAAGACGAAGGGGATGATAGATTAAAGGAAAAATGATGAGGAAGAGGAAGAAGAAGGAAAAAGGAAAAAAAAGATGCTTCAACAGATAGACATTACATCTCCGCATGCACCAGGACGCTCTCTGGAACTGTGCATGCACGTGGACTCTTTCTGGACCAGGTGGTTCTCAGAAGACGCAGAGACGCGCGAAGTGGGAAGCGGGGAAGAGGCCAAGGAAGAAGGCAAGGAGGACAAGGGGAAAAACATCTTGCGTACAAGGCCGCCCACGTGGATGTAGGTTGAGCGGATATATATTGTCACACTGTGAATGGGAGCGCAAAGGCGTAAAAAGACAGAACAAAAAAAGAAAAAGAAGGAAGGAAGGAAAGCCCCACCTGTTCATCACCTCTTACGTAAAGGCCAGCCACGTGGATGACAGGTTGAGCGCTGGCTGCCCCCATCCCCGTGTGTCACAAGGACCCACTTGCACGCAGCCAAAAGGCAAAAAAGAGGTAAAGAAAAGGAGGAGGAAACCAAACCTGACAGGGAAAGAAAGACAATCCAATTGTCACAAAGCAAATAACACATCCCACAGATCAACATATATATATTTTTTCCTTACTTTCTTATTTTCTTTTTTTCTCCTTTTCTTTTTTTTTCTTTACCTGTCCCCACCTCGGCAGATAGGACAGCTACGGTGAGGATGATGTGGATGTTCACAAGGATGCCCAAGGAGAGCTGCGCCAGCACAGCATTCAGCAGGACGGCTAGCACGAACCATCCCATCAAAACAGTCCTGACAGAGGACATGTTGTCCACATGTAAAAAAACAGCAGGACGTTCATCACAGT